CCAAACAGCGTTCCGATATCCAGCTTAACGACACCTACACGAAGACATCATCCCAAGATGACTTCCTGTTGCACCAAGACGACAACATGCTGATCTCAGGCCTAGACCATCTTCTGCGATCGGACATTTGACATGTGTCCACAACTCTTCAATCAGATCTACACCATACATGCATTTGTTGAAGACAAGATGTTCCCCCTTGTGTACGCCCTATTACCAGACAAAAAACAACAAACATATACAAGCTTCTTCAATGTACTGAGCGAGAAGACGACCGAGATGACTGCCCTGCAACTGATGCCTGAAATAATCTTCACAGACTTTGAATCATCCACCCAGGATGCCCTAAGAACTGTGTTCCCAACTTCCGAATTGAAGGGCTGTTATTTCCACTTTGGACAGTGTATTTGGCGAAATGTGCAGAAGTTGGGTCTCCAGACTACATATTCAAGAGATCGGAATGTTTATCGTTTCGTGAGGCGAGCTGTTTCCCTTCCACTTGTTCCAGTCCAGCATATTGAAGATGTGTGGCTGAGTGTCCTTGAAGACGCCCCTCTGGAGGAAGTCCTGAAGTTTACGTCACCGACTACTGGGTAGAAGATAACCAGGGTCGCCATATGTGGAACCACCACAACACAGTTGGACCTAGAACGACAAATCACGTGGAGGGGTGGCACAGCAAGATTGCGAAGGTATTGGGTGCGCCTCATCCAAATATCTTCAAGATTGTATCATTTTTTCAAAGCCGAACAAGCGTATGTCGAGTCGACCATCCATCAGCTAGAGTCTGGTGGGAAAATTCCTCCAAGAAAGCGAAAGTACAGACAACTTGATGACAGACTGCAGATAGAGAAGCACCACCTGCAGAATGGCACCAAGACCATTATACAGTTTGCTGATTCTGTGCATATCATGAAATTAAGGAAATAACATGTATATGTATCATGATTTTGTACACATAATTGTACATGTAGAATGATTTTGTACACATAATTGTACATGTAAAATGATTTTGTACACATAATTGTGCTTTCAGTGTTGTACAATATGTTTTTATTTTGCAAATAATAAATCATTATTTACATTCTTGTGTATGCTTATTTCAATATACTAGTATATTCATGGGTCTATACATACATTGTGGCATAGTGGGCACTGCAACCCTGATGGTGATACGGCCGAATCCCTTAATCCTTTGTTGTTATAAGATCCAAATTCAAAAGTGGGCACAGTGGGGGTAAAACCCGGCCGACATATTACAAACTTCGACCATCTGGTCATACATCATCTTAGCGTTAAGATCGTCAAATTAATGATAGTTCGCATCAGTGGCACGATCGTTAAATTTTGCCCCGCTTCTTACTCTGAATATTACTATTTTATTCATGAAAACTTTTATTCTTTGAAGATTCAAATGAGTACACAAATTACAGACACTCTTACAGTCACAACCAATTTCTGATGTGCAGATGCAACAATCACTTTTAGCATACACAGTGGCGGTGACTAGATGATCACAGGGAGTATCTGTCACAATACAAACATTGTTGCCACAATATCTTTCCTTGTCAGGAACACAACTGCAAAACGCAGCTTTGGGTACAACACAATTAATCATTTCTATTAAGGTCTTAGTCCTATTTCTCATTTTTTTTAATCATTTTCCTCAAAACATGTAATGAAATTGTATTTTAGGATCAAAGAATGTATATATGCATAGTGCTGCAAAGGCTAACATTTAGATTTCACATTCAGGGCCACATCAAAATCCTAAATCTGTAAGGTCAACTGTAGTTATTTATCATTTTTTCAAAACCCTGATACACAAACATAACCATATCTTCCAATTAAGAACACTATCCTTTTTCTGATTGCATAATTACACATTGGCTAAATTGTGCTTATAGTTTGAATTGTCCACTCCCAGGACAAAGCAATGTAGATCGATAATCGATGCTTAGAGATCCTGAAATTTCAATCAATACAAAAGGTGTTATGTCATGTATCCACATCATAATCAAAACATACATCAATATACTTATCGGAACTGACAATTAAAATATAGATCACATTTAGTAAAAAACAACGTCTGAAAAAAATGAATATGTTTTGATAATAAAATTCTCTATAAATAGGATATAAATATACATAGCATACCCATCTGAATTAAAGTAAATTTCAACATATCATAATAATGTATAGCATTGAATACACTGGTTTAACAACTAGTGTATATTCAAGTTGAAGCAAAGAAACCCTGCAAACACAAAGAGCAATTGACTAATCAAATACTATTGTGACTAGAAATGAGACAAAACTACTGAAAACCCACCTCAAACAGGCAAATGTTTTTGACAATAGAAACTATTTCCTTAAAAAGACAAGACTAAGCATCACAATCAAAGTCTGCCGGCTTTATCTACAAACCAAGAACAAGCAATTATTGCTTCAGTATATACAATGTTTTCAGGGTTGGGTTACGACAGAAATAATGCATCTGTAAATCATGAGCATGTCAACCTTTGCATTTGGAGTGTTTAAAGTTGTGAAAACAAGATATGTTAGCATATTTGCAAATAGCAAAGTTACTGGTATTCATGTTTACAGTACACCTTGTCAAAGTTGAATCTTGTATCAAGAATGTGTGTCTTCTCTATTTAGAAAACGTAGCAGATGTGTGCCTTGTACAGCAAATTTGCGAAAGCAATAACATTGCAGTTATGACTGTTTAAAAACCATGACCTCATCAGTAGGGCCAGCTGATAATGAACAACTGGCTCACTATTCCAAAGTGTGAAATTCAGGTCCACGTGAACATATTTATATGTTGGTCTCAGTTGGTTATCAGTTGACTGCCAGACATGTTTGTTAATTATTAGACTATTTATGTGACATCATCTGTAAGTTGATTCAGAATCTATAATTTGAAAAAGGAATTGTGCCTAACTGGCACACTGCTTGAATGATATCTCTGTTGGCCCCAACTAAAAGATCCATAGTTACGTGAACCCAGTATGTCAACTTTCTCTGAATATTATGGTTGACAGTTGATATGGCGTTTGATTCCACCACCTTCAGCAATATTCAAGCCATATGACCAGCATACAACAAACAGTACGTCATAGTGAAATATGCTAACGCCGCTATGAACAGTATTTCAGTTATATCCCGGCGAGTCAACTTGACAAGAACCAAAATATGAAGGTACCGGTATGTTGCTGAAAAACTTAGCAGAACATTATCAGTCAGAAACTGGGATTCGAACATGTATTTAAAGGTTTCCGACACGCACAAGGATGTATTTCTGCACAGCTAATTGCGGCGCCTTTGACGGCTGGGACATGCTTGCAAATATGACAGTAGCTGTGGTAGTAATAGTAGAAGTAGTAGTAGAAGAATGAATGAGTTGGGGTTAACACCGCTCTGAACAGTATTGCAGGTATATCACGTTCTGTCAGCTTAGTGTGCGAGGAAAGACCGAAGTGATGAAGTTCTCATACGCTTACCACTTTGGTGAAACCTACGAGCACAGGAATGGTGCGGACAAACCTAGAAACATAAACGGGGCGAACCGGGATTCGAACCCACGACCATAGGTTTATGGCGTGGCCGGGAGACGCAACTCAACTCAAGTAGTAGTAGTAGTAGTAGTAGTATGATACAAAACGGACGTACCAATAGCTTTGCTGTAAGCTGAACTAGAATCATGGGGCTCTTTTTAATTTTAATGCAGTAAGAAAATGTTTTACGATCATGTAGTCACATTATCCACACTTGATGTACTGATAGTTTCCTTATAAAACTCAGTTTGAACTGTTTGACATCCGTTTTGCTTATAAAATCCCGCAAATATATAATCGCGCTAATTTCGCCCATAGGTTTGGATTTATCTCACTGTTGGTGTCTGTTTTGGTATTTCTGAGGACGTTCGGGGGAGTTTACCAATGATAATAATGGGGCCCAATCGGGAATTCGGAATCTGTGGTAACAAGATCGTGGCAAGTCCGTGAACAACAGCGTCTGACTGAAATCACAGTCGCTTAAATATTCCAGTCAATTTAAAAATTACTGTAAAAATTGACCATTTATGTTATGATAACGAACTCAACACATTTTGATGTTCAGTGTAATCACCCAGTGAAAATGTAAGGGTTAACAGAAGACAATATATATTTTGTTAGTTTTATTGTTTCTAATCCCAGCATACCTATTGTATATTGCTCTTTTGGGCCCTTTTCAGCTTCTTAATAATCTTCACTTTAGTCAATCTGTCAAATGAATCAACTTGACAGTCAATTTGTAAAATAACTGAAATGTGTAGGCATTTTGTAAACTGCCTGAGTGAATCACATTTTACACACTATCTGTGACAGGTTATTAAAATATGCTCAATAATGGCATTGTTGACATCATAGGTAAAAATTGTAACGGGACGGAACATACTCTAAACAACAGTTTCCGTCAGCATTGATATTCAAATACTCTCTGCATATACAGTGAGGACTAAACCCTGACACTAAAATCCTACAAGGATTTGAACAAATTATGATGTCACCGTGGGAGGAAACACACATGAAAGTTCAGCGTCTTTTGTATGGTTATGTTTACAGAGGTCAAATATTCAGTTTGCGCGAATTATAAAACATGGCAAAAACAATAAGGTCAATACAATGGCAAAACTATTGCAAAAAATAGGATGTAGACAAGGTGATCCCATTTCCCCATATCTTTTTATTCTAGTAGCTGAAATTCTAAGCATACTTATTAGAGAGAATACCAACGTTAGTGGTATAGAGATGCATGGAAAAGATCATAAACTTGGTCAATATGCAGACGACACTGAATTATTCTTAGATGGTACTCCAGAATGTCTTAATGCTGTAATCAAAACACTTAATGATTTCTACACAATAAGTGTCGTACCCATACGGGGAAAAGAAGCCAGGTCTGCTGTCTGACAAGCGAACACTTTACCACCAGGTTCCACCCTCATCTAGAGTCTAGGAGAACATTGCAACCGTCGTGAGAACAGTGACGAAGAGAAATATGATCGTCAGAGCACGTTCGAGGACGATGGCCAGTTGCTTCCATTCATATGTAATCTGGTCAAGGCTGTCTTGTTTGGCGACCCTCCTCTTCTGTAGCCCTACGCCCTGCTCTACTGTGTGGAGTAGCCGGTTGAGAACATCCACTACGTTAGTCCCGCCAGCCTGCTGTCCCTCCGTCAGGCTCAGGGTGGGTGCTGGTTTGTCTGCATGGTTGGCCTCGTCATAAGCGGGATTTCGGAGGTTCTCTAAATGGCATTTGAAAGGATCATCCGAGCTTTTAAAATGAAACGTATATAAGGACTTGTCAATAACAATCCAAGGACAAACATATATACTGGGTCTGTCTGTATCTATGTCTCTCTGTATGTCTGTCTCTCTCTCTCTCTCTCTCTCTCTCTCTCTCTCTCTCTCTCTCTCTGTCTGTCTCTCTCTGTCTCTCTCGCAAATGTTTGTTTGATATTTAAATTGCCAGTTGATGAAACAACAGACCAAGTTTGTGCCAAAAGAAACCAAACTATTTCACGCCAGTAGTGACAATCAAACATACCATTTCCTGGTCGTCAGACTCTGGTCCGTCTATTTTGATGAACAGGATCCTGGCAAGAAAACTGAAGCACACAGTTTTCACAAGCCTTGGCAGTTTGTGTCCCCTCGCTCCTCGGTGATGAATATTGAGAGTGAACACGGCCAGGCCTGTACTCAGCGACACAATGAAGATACTGATAGCGTAGTACCTAACTGTGGAGGAAGAACTCAGGATATTTGGTAGGGATCATAATATTATGCAAGAATGTCTCATAAAATAAGTATAGTGTAGATAATTTATTTTCAGGAAATGGTAAAAAATGTGTCGCGCGTCATAATCAGTGAAACGGTTTGACACAGAGGTAATTGAAAGGACATGTTCCGGATACAAAATAGAGCATGCAGTATAAATGTAGTATAAATGTAGTATACGTGTAGTATAAATGTACTATACATGCAGTATAAATGTAGCATGCATGCAGTATAAATGTAGTATACGTGTAGTGTAAATGTATACATGTAGTATAAATGTAGTATACGTGTAGTATAAATGTAGTATACGTGTAGTATAAATGTAGTATACATTCAGTTTAAATGTAGTACACATGCAGTATAAATATAGTATACATGCAGTATAAATGTAGTATACATACAGTATAAATATAGTATACATATAGTACAAATGTAGTATACATGTAGTATAAATGTAGTATACTGAACCGAAAAGAAACGTCACCATGGATAGATAAAAGAGAAACCTCATTTGTCCAAACACTGTAAACATTACTTTGAGACATATTAAAAAGATGAAATTTGGCAAAATTGATCATCAAGGTTGAAATTAAAGTGTCAAATGTTCTTAAAGTGAAACACAACACTAGTCTGTGAGAAATTGCATCACAAGTCAGTATGTCGTGTGTCCGTCATGTGCATTGATGACTGCCGTACAACGTCGATACATCAAATGGATGAGGCGGTTGATGAAGGCCATAGGCACTTGAGCACACACTCTGAGGCCGTCTTTGAATCTCGTCCCACAGGTCCTCAATGGGATTTTAATCGTGACTGAGGGCAGGCCACTGCATGGTTCTGATCCTATTCTGCTGGAGGAAGTCTCTTGTGGCTCTCGCAGTGTGGGCACGGGCGTTATCATGCTGAAACTCGTGGTTGCGGCGACGTGCCAAGTGAGGTATAGCATGGGGTCTCAAAACTTGATCAATGTACCGAGCTGCTGTGACACCATTGCCTCTCCCTGGACCGATGTTCTGGAAGACCACAAGACCGGCCCTCTGTGCAAGACCAATTCCACCCAACACCATGATGGTCGGACCAGCCCACGAGTCTCTCTCAACAACACAAGCATCCGAATAATGTTCCCCACGGCGTCGCCAGACTCGTCGACTCACGGTGTCCGCCCTAATGTGTCGCTGGTTCGTCCCCATGGTCTGTCGAGCAGTTTCCGGACCAGTAACAAAGCGATCTTGAAGATGCTGTCGCACAACGTGACGTACCTGACGTCGGTTGGTGACCCTTGGTCTTCATCTGTCGGTGGTCTAGATCTGGTACCGTTGCTGGAGCCTGTTTCTTGTCCTTACGTGGACTTGAAATACATTGGCTACTTGCCGGCTGGTTTGTCAAGCTTGCAATCGTCCAAGGGCTTTGTGTCTCTCATTTCTTGTCAATCTTGGTATGTGGTAGCAATTCAACAACGAATGAATGTTATCCGATCCGGGTGGATCTTTATTGGGCAAGAAATGGGGGAACGCATGTGCATTTCAATTTGTAACAAACACACGTGCATCGGGTTACCATAGCCGTTGCCGTAATGCGTTTGGGCGATCGGTTTTATTGTCATCTGCTTTGTTTTTTTATCATCAAATTTCATTTTTCCGGACAAGGTAATGTTAAATTTTAGAAGCTTTGACAAAAATTACCCAGATATTTACATGACAACTTTTCAAGCAATGTTACATGGGGTGACGTTTCTTTTGCGGTCCAGTATATGTAACAATTTATTCGTGATTATATTCGCGTATTCAATTGTTTAGTTGACCTTTATCAAAGCGATGAAACCAGTCAAATGTTTACATAAAGCAGAATAAAACACAGACTAGGAAACCAGTGGTGTTTAACCTCATCTTAGTCTATACATATATATAAAAGACAAGACAATTGGAAGATAAGCTTGTGTATTGAAAACAACGAAGCATAAGATTGATTAAATTAGCGAAACCATACTAGGTATCCATTATCTGTAAAAGTTGATTAATGAACATATTAATGTTTCGTGTATGTACTAGTTTAGCAGAACAATATCAAGATCACTGGGATCAATTCTGGGCAGGTCATATGGGAAGGGCGCCCTTTATTTCTATAGGCCAACTGACCCTCAGGCCAAATGAGAAGCAGGCCAATGAGGTTCACTTTTATTTGTTGAACGCGGTACTCAGTAATATTGCATCTATATCATATCAGCTTTAAAAAACTCGAGTTTCAACCAGATAACGTTTTGTTTGTTTGTTTAACGCTGCAGTCAGCAATATACCAGCTATATGACGGCGGTCTGTAAATAATCGAGTCTGGACCAGCCAATCCAGTGACTGACGTTATGAGCATTGATCAACGCAATTGGGATACAATGACATCCAAATCAACCAGGTCGGCGAGCCTGACCACCAGATACCGTTAGTCGCCTCTTATGACAAGTATAGTCGCCTTTTTACGGCACGCCTGGGTTGCTGAAGACCTATTCTACCCCGGATTTTCAAGGGTCTTTTGAGCAACGTCCTAGGCGTCTCTGTAAGATGACAAACTATGGACCATGTCACCTATTTTCCGATTCATCACTCAACCGCTCATTCACTCACTCAAGTATTTGTTCCTGATACATAATATATTTTAAAATGGGAGCACGGTTGTCTGATCGTCTTGGACACTACAATTCACTATGCAGGGTGCTCACTCTAGGACATAACTGAAATACAGCGGTATTCAACCCAACCTATTTACTCGGTCGTTTTAAAAAAAATAAAAAAGTAAAACATACCAATAAGAGGAACCACAGACGACGTCGGTGGCATTGCCGTCGAGAGCACAAGCAACAATGCTATCATTGCCAGGAGAGACGTGATTCCTATAGTAACTTTTTCTCCAGATTCATTCGGCACCAGAAGTCCCAGCAGAGCAACCAACGTGACGACTAGACAGGGCATCATTAGATTAACCAGGAAGAACAAGGGCCTCCGTCTCACGACCACGTCGTACGTCAATGTGACGTAGGGCTCGGCGCAACATGTATAATATGAGGTCTGTCGGCTCGTCGTGAATGACAACAGTTCCAATTCTGTCTGAAATCTGTAATCACTTAAACTTGCGTCCCCACCTTCTCCATTTGTAATATTTAGTTGCTTGTCATTGTATGTCCACGACTCGAAAGACATCCGACACCGTTGTTGATCCATGGGGAAGTATTGAAGGTCAAGGTGGCACGGCGTTTCTAGGATGGCCTCATACTTGAGATCAACTTCTCCACTTGAATGTAGTATGGCCTTGTTTAGTCCGCTGGACGATATTTGATTGTTTGGTCCCACTCTGCACCGGAAAGTAACACAAATTACCAAACAAAGTCCATCTCTCAATGTACCTAGGTTAATGGGCGTTAAAATGTCCATTCGGGAAAGTATGCCTTTAGATGTTTCATACATCCATTTAAATAATTGTATTTCTAAAATGATTTCGCATCTGCATTAAGAATTTCGAGCCTATGAATTACCAACTACTTATTATAGCTTGACAAGATTTGCAGCTGTATCATGGCTACCGTCATTTGACTTCCCTTCCAACCGATTCATCCCAATCTTTGCGTCCTATCATATAACCCAGTACTTGCCATGCATGGCTGTTCGGGATATATGAAGGAGTAAGTGAGTGAGTTTGGCTTTATGCCGCTTTTAGCAATATTCCAGCAATATCACGGCGGGGAACATCAGAAATGTGCTTCACACATTGTCCCCATGTCGAGAATCGAACCGAATCGGCGCGACGAGGGAACGTTGGAACCATTAGGCTACCCGATATTGGAAGGAAAAAGCAAAGCAAGAGTGGCACTTACTTTCATCATAATGCATGCTCTTTCTAAGAAAGGGGGCACGGGTGGCGCTGTCGTCTAAGGCGCCGCGATTCGCTGTGCAGAGTTGCGTCCCATGGGCACGTCAGAAACCTATTTTTGTGGGCTCGAATCCCGGTTCGCTCCGATTATGTTTCTAGGTTTATCAGCACGATACCGTGCACCATACTCATGGGTTTCACCGAAGTGGTAAACGTCGGAGACCTGCATCACTTCGGGCTTTCCTCCCACATTAAGCTTACACGCCGTGATATAACTGGAAAACTGTTAAAAAGCGGCGTTAAACCCAACTCACTCACTCTTTCTAAGAAGGGGGTACTTACGAGTATTTTGCTCGAATGTCAGGCGTCCACATGTCATCGGATGGGATTCGTAGGTCGGTAACGTTTCCATACCTTTCTGGTTGCCATGCTAATGCTGTATCCCTCCATTTCTAGAGAATATAACATCATGCGGATAAAATACGCTAAACCATGTTATTTATATTTGTGAGTATTATGGCCGTGTCTGGTTTCCATTTATCAGACAATTTGAAGAAAACATTCACAAGATAATCTGAATTTGAAATAACTTGGGTACAATTACACCCATAATGATCGTTAAGAAACACCATACTCTCATTATCACAGATCGTGTATAAACCTGCTCGGTACCAGTGGTCTGACGTAGCCAGGATCACCGTCAACACTTCACAAGTTTGAATACACCACAATACATTCGGCCACTTTGTGGTGTGGTAGTGACGTGTGTCTATTGCTCATGAAATGGGGACGTGTATTACAGTCAATTGACCCTATCTCTGAGAATGGATGTTGCGCAAAATCAACCACACCCTGATATTGAAGCAGTGGGTAGAGAAGAAGGCCGCAAAGCACATGCTGCACGAGGATATCGCCGTTTGTGGGATCTGAGCTCTCATTGGTCGAACTGGCCAATCACTGCTTTCCTGTCGCTGGAGCAAGGACGTGGCTTGATATTACGGACTTAACAGCGACCACACCTTAACTCGGACCTGTGTATTGATAGGAGTTGGAAGTACCTGTGAAGTGTTGATGATATTCAAGGATTCAATGATTGTGGGTTCGAATCCTGAACTAGCCCTTATTATGGGTTTCAGGTAAACAGTGGAAGGTGGTACACTTGAACCACTACCTGTATCATTTATCAGACTTCTTCTCACATTAAGCTGACACGTTGTGATATAACTCGAATACTGTTCACAACAGCATAAAATCCAACTCACTCATTCTCTCATATTTACCAAATTAATCCAGCAATTTGTCGTCATGACTTGTTTTTTCTCGTCCTGCAAAATTGAGATAGAAATATGATGATGTCTCCAAAGGGTAAGTAAAGTGCAAGGAATAATTGCGATTTTGTTGCGAATATTAATCTTCCTAGATACATTAAGTAGAACGTATTTTATGTTCAAATGAAAGTGCTAAAACCACACGCTCCGAAATGGGTTCCAAAACAAATTGATTTGGGGGCGTGGCCTGAAACTATTGGCAACGGTGTGTGACAAATGTCATCATTGGCTGATGTGTTGGGTGGCTTGGTTGCGGCATACATATTGTTTGCTTATTTGTTGTATAACGCCGCACTCCGTAATATTCCAGCTATATGACGGCGGTCTGTAAATAATCGAGTCTGGACCAGACAATCCAGTGACTGATATCATGAGCATCGATCCACACAATTGGGATACATTGACGTGCATCAACCAAGTCAGCGAGCCTGACTACCCGATCCCGTTTGTCACCTGTTACGGCAAGCATGGGTTGCTGAAGATCTATTCTACCCGATCTTCAAACGGCATACATGTATATCTACTGTATAATCTATTTGGTGATGCTTAGCAGAGATTTGGATACGTCAGGAACTCAGCCATCAATCTTGTGGATGTTTCTATAAACTACACAAATAACAACATTGCATACATTGTTGTATGTGAGAAATGACCTTATAGCTTGACCTTGTGAACAATTAGCATAGCAACTCCTGTCGGAAACTAGCTTTTTATGACTAACACCATGTTGGTTTACAATAAACCTATTCCACTAAATGTATGCCTGTCAGGGATTTATCCCCTGAACAGACAACTGAAGGCATCTCTTATAACTTAACTTATTCTTGGCATAAGTTGTTCACCCGGTAATTAAACGGATGGGCAGACAGCAAAGAATTGTAATGCGATTAAAAAATCCGAGGCGGAGCAGGCAGACTGGGCGCTGGCCCGATGGTTGAACTGGTTTAGCCCCAGCGAGAGGACTTCCCCCGTGGCGGATTCTTTCGTTTGGGTGTCGATTACGCCTGTTGTTTTTTTTATCGTCTGTTTTACGCTATTTCTGTTTTTCAAATTGAATTTTTGTCAATCAGTTATGAGTAAGTACGCCGTATAGTTTTAAACTCTGCCCATTTGCTATGGTGAGATTGCTCGTCCTTTATTACGTATCATTGCAGTAGTGGTATATTTAAACAATAACCTATACGGAAGAAGTACTTAAATTCTCACTTTATTCAAAATTAACCTATCCCGTGATGATCCGGATAAGAGTAGGTCTTCAGCAACCCATGCTTGCCGTAAGAGGCGACTAACCGGATCGGGTGGTCAGGCTCGCTGACTTGGCTATCCCAATTGCGTGGATCGATGCTCATGATGTCAATCGACTATTTACGGACCGCCGTCATATAGCTGGAGTGCGAAGTTAAAAAACAAACAAAGAAAACAAAACAAACCCGCCCTGTTTATGTTTGTAGGTTTGTCAGCATCATACCCGTGCTCGTGGGTTTCACCAAAGTGGTAAACGTCTGAGACCTGCATCACCTAACACTTTCCTTCTACATTAAGCTGACACGCCATGACATAATGGGAATACTGTTAAAAATGGCGTTAAGCCTAAGTTACCTTACACTCACTCACTCAAAGCAGACGTTCTTTGAAACGACAAACAGATTTCCTTACAGATCCAATCATATATACCTTGTGAGTACCATTTATATCAACCACTCAACACAGTTACCAAAAAAGTCAAAACGCATGACGGGAGATGAAGGTTTGGATCATGGCATCCTGACATAATTGACAACACAACGTAAGCGTATCGCTATTTTGCGTTCCAACAATTCCAGTATCCAACGTAAGTGTATCGCCATTGCGTTTTTACAATTCCAGTATCCAACGTAAGCATATCGCCATTGCGTTCCAACTATTCCAGTATCCAACGTAAGCGTATCGCTATTTTGCGTTCCAACAATTCCAGTATCCAACGTAAGCATATCGCCATTGCGTTCCAACTATTCCAGTATCCAACGTAAGCGTATCGCTATTTTGCGTTCCAACAATTCCAGTATCCAACGTAAGCGTATCGCTATTTTGCGTTCCAACTATTCCAGTATCCAACGTAAGCGTATCGCTATTTTGCGTTCCAACAATTCCAGTATCCAACGTAAGCATATCGCCATTGCGTTCCAACTATTCCAGTATCCAACGTAAGCGTATCGCTATTTTGCGTTCCAACAATTCCAGTATCAAACGTAAGTGTATCGCCATTGCGTTTTAATAATTCTAATATGCAACGTAAGTGTATCGCTATTTAAGAAATGATCTTCATATTGTGCTGGTTTACTGGAGTATAAACGCTTTGAGCCGTGCAAAATAACATCGGGTAATCGCCGGAGCTTGCAACAAAGTAGTTCCAATTACATAAATAAAAAACACAACTCCCTGTTTATCAAGGAGAGTTACTTTTATTAATTTAAAATCCAATCCGGTGTTGACGTATGACATCACAACCACAACTTTCACAAAAGGGCGTGTCCACTGACACCAGTACATACATAAAAGTGCCATTTAAGTTATCAGAAACATTCTGACAATCTCCGTATTGGTATTTTGTTATGCTTTTATATTGTAACCAAGAGAAATAGTCCGAAATGCCGATAAATATCGTTGTCGTTTTGCGTCAGTTATGACGTCTCCAAGGACGGAAACTTTGACAATGTGTGTTGAATTTACCAAATCATTGCAATGTAATTATTTTTAATTCACATGCATGTTCTAAACTGCATGCAACGAATGGACAAATGGATCTCTGGACATAGGAGAAAATACAATGTAAAGTCTGAATTTTGCTTTTGCTGTTTTCCGAGCACAGCGTTCGTTTTCACACCTCATGTATTAAGTTCAGCCAGACAGTTTGTATTTGTGACAAAGACCATTTATCATTTCATTCTAAAATGTATGCGGAATTTTATATCGCAGCTGAGCTTGTAATATACGTGGTGCAATAGTTGTCTCATAACCGAAACGTGATTTTGTAAACTCTGTCAAAAATGGCGGAAAGTTCACATTGTCGTTCGTGCGTGCGTATTTTCCAAACCATTCTAAACGATTCTAGGGTCGGCGACGTTTCAGAATTATCATTGGTGATTTGACAAAAATGAACAGATACCCATGATCACTAATACGCTATTTTTTAAATTCAATTTTCCGAGTAAATATCCGAAATTTATATTTCAATACATACACACTAAATAACGCCATGACTGGTGATTTAGCAATGTGTCAAAAATGTCGAGATTTACGATGTTCCTAATTTTCTTAGGTCATTTTTTGTAATTTTGCTTTGCCTAAAATGACAGTGGATGGATTAAATCTCATAACAGGGAATTTCCCAAAGAATTTAAAAAATGTGTGTGCGCGATGTATTTTTAATTTTATTCGACTTAAAAGTGAGGGTTGGAGAGGAGGGACATATATGTCCCTGTGGCATCCAGGGGGTTAATTCTAATATGTAAATAAGTGTTTTAATGAAACCTTGTGTGAAAAAGAAATGACAATGAATTGTCCCCTATTGCCGATGCTCAAGATCGTGGTAAACAGGGGAGACAACAGAGAAGTGTTCAACTCGGGGATTCCCCATGAAAAATAGTTCCTAATAAAAAGCATGTAAACGTCAAAAGGTGAAGTTTATACTTTGTAAACGTCACCTTTTGAAGTTTGTTGAAAAATGAACGGGTCATGTGATCAGCAAAGAAACCAATCGCATTACCGGAAATCCTTTAAACTTCAAAATAAGAATTTTATACGTTTTAACTATTGCCAGATACAACATAAGTGTATTGTGTTTTAGCTATTGTTATATTCAATGTAAGTGTGAGCTATTGCGTTTTAAGTTTTGAAAGATACAATGTAAATGTGTCGCTATTGCATTTTAACTATTGCAATGTGCAACGTAAGTGTATAACTATTGCGTTTTAGCGATTGAAATATACAATGTAAGCGTATATTAGAGAAAAAATTCTTCCAACAACCATGAGTGAAGTAGTTTCAGGGAATATGTCTAAGAACTTTCTCGTTAATTCAGGGAATATATATAATACCTGAACATTTTAGGGATTATGAATATTCCCTGCATGAATCAGACATTTCATATATTCCCTGCATGAATCAGACATTTCATATATTCATTGCATGAATCAGACATTTCATATATTCCCTGCATGAATCAGACATTTCATATATTCATTGCATGAATCAGACATTTCATATATTCATTGCATGAATCAGACATTTCATATATTCCCTGCATGAATCAGACATTTCATATATTCATTGCATGAATCAGACATTTCATATATTCCCTGCATGAATCAGACATTTCATATATTCATTGCATGAATCAGACATTTAATATATTCCCTGCTTGAATCAGACATTTCATATATTCCCTGCATGAATCAGACATTTCATATATTCCCTGCATGAATCAGACATTTCATATATTCCCTGCATGAATCAGACATTTCATATATTCCCTGCATGAATCAGACATTTCATATATTTCCTGCATGCATCAGACATTTCATATATTCCCTGCATGAATCAGACATTTCATATATTCCCTGCATGAATCAGACATTTCATATATTCCCTGAAAATTTCAGGTATTATACATATTCCTTGATTTGACATATTCCCTGTAACATATGCACCGAGAACTCAATTCCACAACCCCTGATAAAATAAAGAACAGTGATATACCCGTAATTCAATAAATAAATTCAAATGTCATTATACTCATTCATTGAATGGCTGTCGATCTTGAGTATGACAATAACTGACTGTGTCGCCCCAACACACAGATCTATGAACGTGAAGCATGATACTCTCGGTATTCAGCTTCAGAGGCTGCATTGCATCGGGAATGCACATCTTGATCGTATCAGAAGACTCACAGGGGTGGGGGGGATGGGGAGAAGGGTAGGATCTGTCACCCAGGCACAGGGCGGTCACACTCGCGTCTGAGTTTCGGGATTGTGATTATCTTTGTAAGATTACAATGAACGTTTTTGGACAGTAATGGTCGTTCATACCTGATCATAGAACTTCCGATATCCATAGTTTTCGCGGTCATCAACTATGCCCAATTGCAGTACTATGGCAAACTGTGTTATTAATACAGTTAAAATACTGAACATTTGCATCCTTCTCTGTGTTTTCATTAATCAAGAGTCTCATCTTACATAGACATTTAATTCTCCACCGCAGCTCGAGCTTGACACGAATGATACCTTGTTCTTCAACAGATATGGTCGCAAAACCAGGGGGTGCTTAATTAATTTCTAGGTCCATACAACATTTGTGTATCGCCATATCGCATTTTAATTACTGCAATATACAATGAGAGTGTATTGCTTTTGCGTTTTAACTGTTGTAACATACAGGATATGTTTAAGAGTGTCCCTATATCCCTTTAACTATTGCAATAAACAGCGTGAGTGTATCCCTATTGGTTTTGATCTTTTGAAATGTACAACGTAAATGTATTGCTACATTGTAACTATTGCAATATACAAAGTGTTGTTTGTTGATTTGTTTGTTTTTTTAACGCCACATTCAGCAATATATCAGCTATATGACGGCAGTCTGTAAATAATCGTGTATGGACCATACAATCCAGTGATTGACATCATGAGCATCGATCTATGCAATTGGGAGCCTGACCACCCAATCCCGTTAGTCGCTTTTTACGGCAAGCATAGGTTGCTGAAGACCATTATCTCATCCGGGTCTTCATGGGTAACTGTACAAAGTAAGTGTACCGCTGTAACTATTGCTATAGACAACGTGGGTGTATCGCTGTTGTATGTTCACTACTGTGTTCCAATGATCGGGTACACTTACGATGTCGGTAATCTCAACAAGTTTGAGCTGCATCTCCACATCCAGTGTGGCGTCAGGCCCGAAGGGTTCAACACGCTTGTCGTATACATGAAACAGATCAGCCACCAGGCGGCGTTTGGATTGACAGGTTGCAGAGGCTGACAACAGAACAATATCATGGTTTAACAGGGGACGCGAAACAACAGAACAATATCAGGGAGACGGAGAACAACAGAACAATATCAGGGACATGGGAAACAAAAGGATAATATAAGGGGTACACAAGAGATGGGAAACAACAGAGAACAATATCAGGGGTACACGGGAGAAGAGAAACAGCAACACAATATCAGGGATACACGGGAGATGGGAAACAACAGAACACTCTCAGCGATACACAAGAGATGGGAAACAAAAGAGAACAATATCAGGAAGACGGAGAACAACAGAACATTATAAGGGATACATAAGAGATGGGAAACAACAGACCAATATCAGGAATGCGCGGGAGACGGGAAACAACAGAGAACAATATCAAGGATACACGGGAGATTGGAAACAACAGAACACTATAAGAGATACAAAGGAGACATGAAAAAAACTGAAAAATAAACTGTGACACAGTAGATTAATGTACTTATGAGACAAATTACTCTCGTGGTCCGATTACCCTTCAGTTTCGCACCTTAACCGCGACAGGATCCGATTATTTTTTGTCAGAAACCTAGATTTTCCCTGATTATTATTCTTGGTCTCTCAGCTTAATACCGGCACTGGCTGGATCCACCGAATCGATGAACGCCTTAGACCAAGTGGACACACACTGATTTAACTGAAATACTGTTCAGAGCGGCGTTACTTTCAATTCACTCGCTCTGAAAGAATGTCCTCACCTAACATCCCTCCCACGAAGAGAAGCACCGTCTTCACATCCATCGCCAGGAACTCTACAACACAGACAAAAGCTTGTTAGTCAAACTGTGTTACCCCACTGTGTCAATTGGCACTAACGATGCACTTATCACTCGCGGCTACAGGTAAATAACAAAATTGCGTCACTTATGACTACCAGGATCCGATGATCGTATTGTCTTTGAATTCCAGATTAATTCCGATTATGATCCTTGGTCTGTCATTGTCATAACCCAGAGGACCGCCTCCGTGGTCTAGTGGTAGAGCGTCCGCCCGGCCGCGTCATACCAACAGACGTTAAAAGATGGTACTTGTTGTTACCCTGTCTGGCGCTCGGCATTAAGGGGCTAAAACAAGGACTGGTCGGCTCGGAGTCAGTATACTGTGTCTGAGTAGGGTATTAATGTTGAACTGTGGCATGGTATCTCAGTGGGCTTGCACTATAAATCGGCATCAGTCCGGACTAGTACAAGCAGCCACACAAACACACACACGTACATGCACGTCGCTATATAAGTGCAATAATCTTGGACGCGACGTTAAACCCAATTTCACCTCACCTCACCTCAGAACCAAGAGCTACACGTTCGCGACCTACGTCACTATAGCATTACTCCCAGATACACACAGGCCACCGCCTGGAAGTTCATTACCCTTACACACATGGGCACCGCGTTACACACAGACCACCGCCTGGAAGTTCATTACCCTTACACACATGGGCACCGCGTTACACACAGACCACCGCCTGGAAGTTCATTACCCTTACACACATGGGCACCGCGTTACACACAGACCACCGCCTGGAAGTTCATTACCTTTACATACATGGGCAACGCGTTACACACAGACCACCGCCTGGACGTTCATAACCTTTACACACATGGGCAACGTGTTACACACAGACCACCGCCTGGAAGTTCATTACCCTTACACACATGGGCAACGCGTTACACACAGACCACCGCCTGGAAGTTCATTACCCTTACACACATGGGCAACGCGTTACACACAGACCACCGCCTGGAAGTTCATTACCCTTACACACATGGGCAACGCGTTACACACAGACCACCGCCTGGAAGTTCATTACCCTTACACACATGGGCACCGCGTTACACACAGACCACCGCCTGGAAGATCATTACCCTTACACATGTGACAGGATCAGATAATTGTATATATTTTCAGAGTTTTATTAGTTTAGATTTTTACTGAATTAAATATTCAGTCAAATATGTTTTAAACATTATATACTTCACACTTCAGCTCTCCTAATTCTCTGTTTCAGCTTACTGCATGAGTACTTTGCCACAGCCTCAATCACCTAGTGCACTATCACACAATAGCCTGCCCAAGCGCGCCCCTCAAAGCCCCTTTGTGTTTCAGGTTCTAGCTTACTGTCTCCAGTTTTAAAGGGTTTAGTTTTACTACAGTTTAGAGCACATTTGATGTTACTGTCAAACACACGTATATCATTGGAATTCACAATTTGGACAATTTGGACTAATTGTGGTGTTTGATCTATTGGACATTTTGGAATTCACTTCTAAAGGTTGGTCTTTTGATGATATTTTATTGTTTGTGCGTATTCCTAGGATTTGTAGGTATATTGTGTTTATGCTCTTGATAATTTGGCTGTTTTGGTCATGTTGTAAATATTCGCCAGATCATAGTAATTAGTTGTATTTCTGTATGCATTACAAGTGTTATTATTTACGTAAGGTAAATAATTCAGTAAGTGCTAAGTTTAGGCTTAAAATACTATTTAACTAAATCTTCAATCACTGTGAAGCTGATGTATGAAAGTATGAAGTATGAAAGTAAGAATGTGAAACATATATGTTGCTAGGTAACATATTGGTATAAATGAATGTGTAATGTATGAATGTATAATGTATGAATGAATCAGGGTTTTACTATTATATTTTAGAATTGTTTTAAGTTACTCTGCAATAACACTATGTTTCGGTTTGTAGTAATATTGCTGCTATCAGATTGGTCTGCACAGTGTGTATATATATTCATTTATTTGTCGTGCAGATGTAGCTGTAATACTTGTGCAGAGGTCTGTGTCTGGACTGATGAACCCAGGTCCACACACTTGGTGGGTTTACTAGGTTTTATATATATTCTCATGTATTGCATATTGTATGTACACATAGTAAATGTATCATGTCACGTCTATCTTACTCTATTTATATGATACACATATATAAGTATATATGCGGGTTAAGTAGGTTTATAATATAAGATTAATTAAGTTTTTGATGAGATGTAAGTTTATCAATTAGTAGTTATAGCATTTTGTATATATCATCAAATGTAATGAAATATTTGATGTCAGCATATGTTTATATTTTGTGTAATGAATGTTTTACAATTGTTTCAGGGTTCAAAACATTAATCAGTAATAAACTTGGCTATAATTCGAACAACACCTGCGTCTGTCCTTCATGTCAAGAAGCAGTCCCGGTTTCAATGGAGCCCCCAGTGAGGACTTTAGCCTAGAAAAGACACAGACAGCTACCTATTGACTTCATCGTCCCTTGTCCACTACATGTGCTATGACGTCATTCTGGGAAACATCGTAACATGCCGTTACACGCGTGTGAGACATTTTTTGTGATTTTGAATTATATAGACTCAATATCAACAGCTTATAATGTGCCTCAATCCTCTATTTCATCTGAACTCTGTCAGTGGTTATGCGATCGGACGATATTTCAGCGTTCAGTAATATGACATTACAGAGACGTTTCCGATCTATTCATTATGCATACTGGATCTAGCAGTGTAACCTTGTGTTACACGTACCCGGGTTGTGTTGTGCACGTATGCACATAGACCATTTACCATGTTGTAATCTTTGTCAAGTGATATCACTAACATTATAGTTACAAGATTATTTTCTGGCTTTATAGAGCTTTATTGTACATATGCTTGGGATATTCCTGTGCCTGCGTGCACATATTATTTAAATGTGTTGTTTCTTTTAGTGAGCGCTCACACATTTGATATTTAGTTAGTTTAGATCATATGTTTTTTGTGTTACCCTGTGATTGCAAGTACAATGGCTGAGAGTACCATGTTGGTATGATGTGTGTGTGAATAAAGTGAGATAGCTAATCTTACATTTAAACCTTAGCAAATGAATAACTAGGCCTTAATACACCTTTCAAATTTCATCATGTAGGGCTGGTGTTGTGTTCCAAGTTCAGTGGTATTTGTATTATTGTTGTTACTTGTCTTGTGGTAGATCAATACCTTCTTGTTTATTCAGCTGCAGTTATGTCTTCATGTGTGTCAATATGGATTGTATTCGGGTTGTTGTTTTTTTTGCGTTTTGCTGGGTTTATAGTTAACTTTGGTATATAAGCATTCCCCCCAGTCCCATTATATTGTCCCCGCGCGCGTAGATATACACTGCATGTGCACATGAACACAGCTGTTTGCACAACTTTCAACTTTTTTTTCCCTCGGTATCTTCTACACATGTGAAGTAATATGATGTTCTTTATCTTCACGTTTTAGCTTTTTTTGGCCATTTTCTTTCAGGTATTTCTCATACATCTCAGCTTGTTGGTCATTATGCCATGAGCACACACTCATTTGCATAATGTTTTTGTTGTTCAGGTTATCCTGAACATACAATCATATATTTGTAGTATCACTTGCTTACACAAGGGTATCCTGCGTATGGTTGTTGACACAACATTTATGTTATCCCCTATAATTTCCTTATCACTTGCTCATGTTATTGCATCATGAGTAAACCACTACCTGAAGAGTTCGAGAAACTTATTTCTTCTTTTCAGGATCTTGGTACCTGGCCTACTGTTGATAATCAAGAAGACCTGGTACAGTGGATGCGAGCATACACTCAGACCAAGGTCAAGGCTGAGGGTGGTTCGTCCATCCCGCCTTCTATCCAAGGTACTCTAGCACCTGTTACATTATCACAGGCACCAAAGGTTCCATCATTTTCTGGTGACAAGAAGGGCGAAACATCTTTTGATGTTTGGAAATATCATGTTGAGTGTTTGTTTCAAAACAAGTCTCTTTCACCACAGGCTGTTGTTAACATAGTCCAACAATCCCTACGTGGTAAGGCAGCAACGGTTGCCATGTGCCTTGGGCCTGAGGCTGATATCAAGCAGCTCATTTCAAAGCTAGAGGCTACGTTTGGAAGTGTAGATAGGGGTCAATCACTACTAGCTAACTTTTATAGCTCACGTCAAGAGGCCACAGAAGAAGTTGCTTTATGGGCATGCAGGTTGGAGCATTCACTCCTCCAAGCAGAAGCACAAGGACCAGTTCCCCAGGCAACCAGGAATGAGATGCTTCGCACACAGTTATGGTCAGGGTCAAGGCCAGAACTTCGGGATCATACAGCTCATATCTATGACCAGGGAAGCACCGTTGATGATCTTCTCAGAGCCCTGCGGAGAGCTGAAGTAGATTTGCAGCTGAGAGGAGCTGGAGCCAAGAAGAAGATTTCAACTCCTAATATGGCTGCTGTAAGCACACAGGACACTGAGATGAAGGAGATAAAGGGAATGTTGAGACAGCTGTCAAGCGAGGTTGCAGATCTGAAGAAGCAACAGATTACTACACTCCCTGTTCCCTCTGTCCCTTGGATGAATAGAAACCCAGGACCTATAGGACCATCACCGAATCTGCAGCCTCCACCTGAACAGTATTGGCCACCTCCGCCAGGAACACCATCATGGTACCAGGGCGAGAGAGGGGATTCCAGGAATCAGCGACCCTCTAAGGATTCCATTACTGGAGAGCCCATTTGTTTCAGGTGCAACCAGCCAGGACATCTACAGTACGGCTGCCGTGTAATTCTTGACCACAGGCGCACTTTAAACAGGAAGAAGCCTATGGGACGGGGCAAGCCATAGGCTATAGGAGGAGGCGCCCCATCAATAACCAGCAAGTTGCCAAGCTAGTAGGTCAACCAAATGAAGGCACAGTTTACATTAATGGAGTTAAAGCCACAGCTCTTTTTGATACAGGTTCTACTGTG